TTTGGACATTTTTAAAGTACTAAACAAATGCATTTTTATTGTGGTTACAGTAGGGCATTCTCAATCTCTAGAAAAGTCACATTACATTGGAAGAGCCAGACTTTCCAAGTTCTTCTGAAGTCCCTTCTGCACCAACCAAATGGAAATATGATCTCCTCCTCCCTTGAACCTTACAGTCCTTAGCAACTCTTTTCTCAGGCAGTTATGCAATTCCTGTTGTACTTACTGAGTATCGCCCATGTGCCAAACACCACAGAGGGTAGTGAGGACTCCCCCTTGGCATAGATACTGACATTTAAGATTTATCCCCCTTTACAGAAGAGGCTCAAAAAGGTTAAGTATCTGAGTGAGGCTGCCAGCCAGTAAGGGGAGGAACAGAGGGCTTCCAATGCCAAGTCTTTTCTACTAAAACACAAGCTGGGACTTGCCACACTGTTCGTATTCCCTCACTCTACCATCAGCAAAGCACGGGCACAGCACCCTAATGCATCGTGCTGCCCTCTGAAGCACCCAGCAAAGGCCTGTTCTCACTCTGGTTGGTGCTGTGTTTTTGTTGCCGGAAAGGATGAGTGCACAGATTTGCAGGCCCGTGGGCCTTGCTCATGGTGCATGTTTGTGGGCCGGGAAGACTGGAGTCCTTATTTCCAAGGAGGACTGTAACTTCACAGAAAGTTCTAAAAACAAATGCTGTACTTGTGAGAGACGCCACCTGGCCTGCCTCAGGGGCTGAGTCCTCTTTTTATGCACCGAGTGGGAGCAGCACAGGGAGTGCGGGGCTCCTTTTCTTCCAACCACTCCCACAGCCCGGCTCACGCCAAGAAAAGGCCTGCACCGTCCGGGGAAGAGAGCCATGCAGCCCAACTAACCTCTGGTGTCCCTGTTGGGGCTGCCAACAGTCTGGGGAGGAGGGTGTGCTTAGTACCAGCTCCGATGACGTAACTTCACAATTCCAGCTTTTCTGCCCAGAACAAAAAGGCAACTGGTTTGGGAACTAGATTCTCCCACCCCTCTAATATTCAACCAAAGTCAGTTTTGCATAATTGACCACTAGGTGTTGTTTGCATACCTCACTGTTTTTTTAGAAAAATGCATAGCCCTTGCCCAGTCGTCGGCACTCATTAGTCAACAGAGCCAAATATCAATAGTACAATGATTGAGATTTCTTTTGAGAGCCAAATTTTTCAAACTTAAACTTCTTCTAACACCACTTCTTCAAAATAGACTCGCCCAGGCTGTGGTATTTTGTGGAAGAGCCACACTCAAGGGGCCAACGGCTCGCGAGCCACAGTTTGCCGACTACGGCCCTAGCCAATTTGGCTCAGTGGATAGAGCATTGGTCTGCGGCCTAAAGGGTCCCATGTTAGATTCTGGTCAAGGGCATACGCGAGGGTTGTGGGCTCATCCCCAGTAGGGGGCATGCAGGAGGCAGCCGACCAATGATTCTCTATCATCATTGATGTTTCAATCTCTCTCTCCCTCTCACGTCCTCTCTGAAATCAATAAAAATATTTTTTTAAATGAATAGTAACTAATTCAACAGACAGATTTGGGTCCTTTGAAAAATGAATGTCTAGAGCCTGGAACATGTGTATGTCATGAATGTCCCTGTGTGCGAGCAGGAAGTCCTCAAAAGCGTTTACTTTAAATATCATGAAGTGTACAGCCATGTGCTCCACCAGACAAGGATCCAGGACCCAGAGAAGCAGACTTCTGAAGTGGGACTGCATTTCAAGGCTTCAAGAAGAATAACGCACTGGGGACTTTCCTGCCCAATGTCTCTGACAGATGTTCCTTCTTGTAAGGATTGTCTAATTTGGAGACTTTTGGTACCCATGTCCTTAGAAATCTTTAGGGAACAACAAATTGATCCCTTTGCCTACATGTGAAGGCAAAAGTCCAAAGTAACCTTTTCCTATTTCTGAGACTAGTTAATGTGAGCATAATATCCTTGCCCACTGCTTGGGCAAACCAAGACAGAGATTAGCCAGACTAAAATGAGGTATCTCCCAGGCTCAAGATATCTTTCCATGCCCAAGGAGAATAGATGGTGAGAATGCAAATCTTGTCAATTTTTACCTAATATCGGGTCAGGCCATTGGTCTCACTTTGACCTCTGCCTGTCAAATCCACTGCAGGAGGCTTAGGACTCCTTAGAAAGACACAGCAGAAGCCAGAAAGAGAGCAAGCCTCAGCTAGGGCAAGCATCTAGCATCAGCCTTGGGAGGGTCCACATGGGATGCTTTTCCTATGCCTCTTGAAGGAACTCTCCAAGGCTGAGTCTAAATCTCTGTCTTGGTTTGCCCAGGAAGTGGATAGCTAAGAGTTGACAGGATAGTATGAAACACAAAAAATAAGTGAGAGCTTAGCACGGTATCAAAGGCAGTTACCAACCCTCTTCTCTTAGTTCTTAACCTTGCTTATGACCTTTGTCTTACTGAAATGGCATTACTTCTGTTCTGTACTCTGACCTCTGCAAGAAGGAACCAAAGATATTAATAACTAGCAAAAATGTAAGCCCTTAGAAAGTCATGCCATAATTTGACCACTTTCCATTTTAACCTTTCTCTAAAACCTCATTTGTACTTCTACTTAAGGGTGTAAAAACTCCCGGTAGTGTTTTGTTGTTTTTGTTTTGTTTTTGGTATTACTACTGTGTGAATTTTTACTAACCAGGAATAATGTAGTAGCTCTCAGGGCAGCATTTTCAAATTTTCTTGTGAGAATTACTTACTGACCTAGAATACTGCCAATCAGGCTACTAAAGGAGCAAAAAGACTTGTTCCTTACCCTTGAGTAGCTTGCAATTTAGTAGAAGATGAAAAAAAAACGCACATCACTAACTGAATCCATGGGGAGCAGATGATAACAGTGATGCAAATTCAGTACTATAAGTGTTCAGGGAAAGGCTGGACTAGTTAATTGTGTTCATGGAAAATCGTTGGTAGAGATGGCATTTAAATAAAGCCTTCGAAAATGTGTAACTTCAAGGGCATTTTGGAGAAGGGCATTTTACTGGGCTATAATGGCTTTAGCAAAAGGGCGGAAGTAAGAGAGTACAGGGGAAGTAAGGAAACTTCAAGGGAGAGAGCCTGGATGCAGGACAGGCCACAGGAGGGAAAGGAAGAAACCAATCTGGAAAGGTACTCGGTGGCCAGTTCTTAACCTAACATGGATGTGGAGGGGAATGTAGGCAACTAGATTTTAGAAGTAGGAAGTAACTTTTAAAATGTACCCTACATTAATCATTTTTCACAGCACATCTTAAATTTTTAGAGGGAGAAATATTTTATTATTCCATTTGCAAACTAGATGGAATAACTTCAAAGAAAAATACTGTGGGAGCTGGGAAAATTGTTTCTCAGAGCTGGCAAATTCTTGACTGCAGCTTCAGTAACATATTCTTCTTACCAACCCTCTGAGATTGTCCCATTAATGTCTCTTTTTCCACATCCCCCAAATACCTTCTTAACTCACTATAGACATGCTAAGTGGCTACTCTGCAACTAGTACTTGCTCACTTATTTACCCAGCCTCTCTTTTTCTGCCCCACTTGTCCTGGGGCTAACCACTCACTCATTCATTCTTATCCTATGAACTGTATCAATCATAATAACATTAATAGCTACTACTTGCTATAATGCCAGGTCCTGAAATTAATTAATGCTTTATGAACAGTATTAAATATAATTCTCAAAACAGCTCTATGAAACAGGTATTATTATCCCTGTTTTACGGATGAGAAAACAACTTCAAAGATGTTAAGTACTTTGCCAACTGGTACGTGCAGAACCAGGTTTAAGCCAGATGTGCTTATTACAGAACCTTACTTGTTACCACTTCACCATACTGCCTCCAACACCCTTTAACCTCTTACTGAAATGGCATTACTTCTGTTCTATGCTCTTACTGATATGGGTTAGTATTTTAAGTTAAAAATTTAAATATTCATGAAGTGCCTGCTACTATAAACTCCTGTCCTTAGTGCAGTCAGAAGTATGTAAATAAGAGAGTATGTCTATAGATTATTGATGGTCATAATCTTCCTTATTTGAGTATAAACTTCCATATTTGTGTAAGATAGTCTGTCCATGATTCACGAACTAGAGTAACTAAGGTCAGAGGGAGTGAAAATGGCTTCACATATGAATGTTGAATGGTGACCACATATCACAGACAGAAACCAGCCAACCCTGACTGTGCCTTTCAGAGAATTTTAATTATACACTTCAATCACAGTCTGTAAAAACTCTTTGCTGATGAAAAATCTGTCCTGTCAAAAGTTCGCAAGCAAATTTTGTTACAATCTATGTTCAATGAACTTCAGGTTCCTTTGAAGTCAAATAAGCTACTAAAGCATTTCAGCCCACAATAGCACTCTGTGAGGCTAGTCCCTGTAAAATTCATTACTGAGGAGTAAAGTTATTGGGTTAAAATAAATGTGATATCAAACTACTTGTACCATGTAGCCAGAATGTTGTGTAAAATTATATAGAGCTATTTAGATACAGAAAAATAATTCAAATTTGTCATTTTTAAGCTATCTGCTATTACCATAATACTGTCTTTACTAACTTCTGAATAAGCCTTTGCTTAATATTTTCAGGAGACTAGTTACATTTTTGCAAATAAGTATAATACATACAAATACATAAGAAACTGGGTGGGATGATCGGCAGTCCCCTCTAAGCTGTAACCATGCAGGCCCAGGGAGCATTTGGAAGGAGTCACAAGTTCAGACTCTGTCTGCCTACTCATCTCTCTCTGCCAAGGTACAGTGTACACATCACAACGTACACAACCAAGATTCAAAGACTGCAGTGGCAAATACTCACTGCAACTACTCTGCAATTAAACTCCTAATCCAATTCATTTTAAGAAAAGAAAAGTCAATAAAGAAAAATCCTTTTAAGAGTTCAAAAGTGGCAAAATAATTAGCAAGACACATTTAGTTCACAAGGAGAAGCACCAGCCTACAGAGAATTAATGACACTGAGACTTACTGTTCAATTCGGGGTGACAGGTACAGCTTGGGGTACACCTGAGTGGCTTCGGTATCCTCAAAACTGACAGAAAGGAGGGCCACATCCTCTCCAGGGTCTTCATTTACATCCTTAAACAGAAAGTGAAAAACAGTGTCATCAGCACCTGCTCTCATAACATCTTTTTGGTGGTGAGCTCATGGTCCACTGTTGTTTAGGTTATGAGGCTTGAGTTTCCTGGATTTGAATTCAGCAGCTCTGCACATCCTTTGCCACATACCTAGCCACTCCTATATGGTGGTGGCTTCCAAATTTTCTGACCAAAGCTTATCATGGTGAGAAAAAGACCTTCACCTATCTACTTGTTCCCACATTCCAATAGGGGAAATGGGAATCTGATGATAATAAAGAATTAGACAAAAATATAGTTAACAAAATACAGTAAACATACAAATATATTGCTGGCAATATGTACAATGGCTCATAATTTGTGTATGGATAAATAGCTTCTAATTTACTTCGTATAGAAAGAATACAAGTTAAAAATAAGATTTACATCATAAAACAACAACAAAACTTAATTACCCAGTAATTTTATTATACCTACCTTGATAGTATGTTACAAGTTATATAAATAGAAAAAAATGCCAAGAAACATTGGCATTTTGAAGTATGCCATTTTATAAGCAAATGGCAGGGGGTTACATACTAATACACATATATTTTAGCAAAAGGATCATGGATGATTCATATATGAACCTTATGACATACATATCTTTTTTTATTTTTTTTATTAAGGTATTATATGTGTACATATCTTACCATTGTCCCCCTGACATACATATCTTAAGTTTAGTTATAAGAGTATTATAAAACAAAAACACTGTTGACCCAAGTATGTATTAAGAAACACTGAGAGGTTAACCAAATAACTAACAATAAATTAAACTATAATGATAAAGCTAAAACATAATTTGCTATTAAAAAGCAAGAATAGCAGCAATCAAATATCATAACCAGCTCAAGCCAACACTAATGATACATCGAAGTGTCCTGAATCAAAACTGTAAGACCTACAACTGTGTGTATGCTTTACAGTTACTGCCAAGCACCAAGTGTCTGCCAGATTTCTGAACAGAATACTGAATTAGAATAAATTATTGTAGCATGTGATTTTAATTTGTGAATACCAAACTTAGTAACCCTTAATAATTTATTCTTCATGGGTAGTGGCTCCAAATCAAATATAAATTTAAAAAAAAAAACAAAACTTAATAGAGTGCACATCTTTCACCCACAGTGACTAGTAAGAACTTACCTGGATTAGTTCATAGTTCCCCGGAGGGCTCAGTAGCCATCCAATGAGTGTCGCAACCTAGACTTTAAGAATCACTGGGTGTGAATATTGAGAACCTCAGAGATGATGTCCTTCTGTCTAAAGCTAACCTTGGTCCTTTTTTCCTGGCATTCTGAGAAGCTGTTATCACACTCATCTTGCTGAGCATTAGCATGGTCAGTCTCCTAGTTCTGTCTTCCACTGTGACAATAGGATGTACAAGTGTGGCATGTTTACAAAGGGACAAGGACAAGAGTGAGCATCTCCTGTCTTAAAAAATAAAATCATACTTGTCTCTATATAATTCCCTGGATTTTCTCTCATTTCTCTCCTCCCCTTCAGACTACTTAAAAGAATTGTCTACATTTCCATCTCTCCTCCCACCTATCCCTTAGCCCAGCATAGACCTTCTGAGCCTCCTAGTTCATCAAGCCTGCTCCCACCAAGAGCATACACTGAGCACAGCCAATGCTTCTCTATCCTTACTTTACATGCTCTCTAGACAGTATTTGGCATGATGATCTTGCTCCTCTGGAAATCCACTCTTTTCTTGCTGCTAACACTCTCCTGGTCTTCTCGTGTCTCTTCCTCCTCCCTTTTTATTCTTTGTTTCTTAACTTCTCAATTGTTTTTTTTTTGTTTTGTTTTTGCTTGTTTTACATTATAAAAGTTAGGCAGTTGGGCTTGTTGTAACAAGTCAAATCATACAGAAGTTTATAAAGAAAAACTTCTTACACCCTCAATTGTCAAGTAACCAATATTAACTGTGTGTGTGTGTGTGTGTGTGTGTGTGTGTGTGTGTGTGTGTAGCTTCAAATGGCTTTTTCCATGCTCATAAAAACATATACACATATACCCACACTTGCATATAGATATCTCTTTAACCTTTCTGTTTTGTTTTCCCTAATGAAATCATATTATACACACCACTCCACTAATTGCTTTATAAATAGCCACATAATAATACTCCATGACATGGATTTATTTTTCACTAAATCATTCCCCTGGCCACAGACATTCAGGTTGCTTGTAGTTCTTAGCCACTTCATAGTATTATAATAAATACCCAAATATAGCCATTACTAGTGGGACTAATATTTCTTAATAAACTTAAACTGAACTTGTTGGGTCAAAGGTTATGAACATTTTACCTTTTAATGGAGTTTAAAAAAAATAGTTTTCTGAAAATTTATAGCAATTCACATTTGGACCCATGAATTTTCATCAGTATGAGAGCCTGTTTCTGCTCATCCTGAATAACTAAATAATAATAGTGCTGTTGTCACTCTACTTTAATGTTGGCAATCTGACAGCTGGAAAATGGTGTCTCAATTTAGATTCAAAAAATAAAGCTGAGCAGCTTTTCATTTGGTTTACTGGTCATTTACATTTCTTCTGCAAATTTTCTCATCAAACCCATTGCCCATTTTGCTTTCAGGTTTTTAGACTTTTTTAAAATTGCTGTTTTTTAGGCTTATTAACCCTTGTTTATTCATGTATTATACATATTTTCTCTCAGTCTAGATTTTATATATATATATATATATATATATATATATATATATATATATATATATATATATTATTGATTTCAGAGAGGAAGGGAGAGGAAGAGAAGATAGAAACATCAATGATGAGAGAGGATCATTGATCAGCTGCCTCCTGTACGCCCCACACTGAGGATTGAGCCCTCAAACGGGACATGTGCCCTGACCAGGAATCAAACCGTGACCTCCTGGTTCATAGGTCAATGCTCAACCACTGGGCCATGCCAGCCAGGCACTCTCAGTCTAGCTTTGATGTTTTACTTTGTTTGGGGAATTTTTTGATGTCACAGAAAATTTAGATTTCCATAAGGTTAAATCTGGTCAAAATAACTGAGGCTATGTAACTTTTCCCCTAGTTTTTCATCTAACATTGTTATAACTTTATTTTTTCATGTACATTTGAATAGCTCTGTAATCTATTTTTAGGTGGTATGATAAGGAAGTGTGTGAAAGGAAGGCCTTAGTACAGTACCTGGAACATAGAAACTACTTAATGTTGGCTGAATGAATGAATTAGTGACCAAATTAATGTTAATTCCTAGTCTTTATCTCCACCCCTAGTTATTTGCAGAAGCCTGCTTTACAAAGGCTGCTGTCATCAGTGATGTCTAAAAACGGAGTACTGACTCCTTGCTCCTGCCCCCATAATACACCAAGTTCCTTGGAATAAGTGGTTTTAAAAAAAGCCAAGATTGAGAGTCTGAGTTTGCCTACGGCTTTTTGCTCTTTTACAGATGATAACGTATTCATCCTTGAGTATTCTTTTCTGTAAAATGACGTTGGATAATTTAAATTTTTTCTATTTTAAAAATATGATCTTAACAGCTAGAAACTACATAATTATATGACTCAAACTCATAAAATAGTTAAAACTAAGGTTGAAGCTCAGCTTGAAAAAAATTCACATTTATAGGAACAAATTCATTTTATGATCTAAGTTTAAAGTAGTCCTCTTTAGTGTTGGATCACCTTAAGAAAGACAATAAACAAAAAAAAAAGAACTAATACTGATTTTCAGACTCCTTCCCCCGATAGCTGAGTTTCCTTGTTAAAGGTTAGGCTCTGACTACAAAACCCTGTTAAATAAAACAAAAAACAAAGAAAACCTCACCACCACCGCATAAACTAGGGAACACTGAAAACTTTTGATTACATATGCCTATGTCTAATTTTAAAATATATATATTTTATTGATTTTTTTACAGAGAGAAAGAGAGGTAGAGAGTTAGAAACATGGATGAGAGAGAGACACTGGTCAGCTGCCTCTTGCACACCCCCTACTGGGGATGTGCCTGCAACCAAGTTACATGCCCTTGACCGGAATCGAACTTGGAACCCTTCAGTTCGCAGGCTGATGCTCTATCCACTGAGCCAAACCGGTTTCGGTGCCTATGTCTAATTTATTATTATTATTCTTTTACTTGTTTGCTTCTCATTTCACTACTCTTTAGGTAAAAATAGAAATGCTTAGGGACAGTCCTCCAAAGAAATGGAGTGACCGTGGTTTCTATAGTCAGCAATTAACTTGGCATCCTACAAAGAGTACACGAAACATCAGTCAATATAAAAATAGTTGTTTCCAGGAGTTCCTTTTACAAACTACTCTAACCTGACTCATTCCCCATGGAGTGGCATAAGAGTTTTCCCCGAATTGGGATGCGATGCCTAATGGCTACCTAAGTTTGACCTTGAGTGCCTAAATAAGCCCAAACAGTTCCAAAAGTATAAATCCACACAGTGCTGTTTCCAGTTTCTGCAACTCTAACAGGCTCGCACATGTGTTCCTCCCCATCTGGGAAGTTATAAAAGCAGCTCTTGTACCATGGTTCTTAGAAGCTAACATTACAGATGATTATTTTAACCACTAATGGCAGCATTTGGAAAACAGGAGGAGGTTACAGTGTAGTAGGGGACATTTAAAAATGTACAAGTGTACATTTTCAGGGTTTTCTATCTGCATCATTTGAAATTGCAGCAGGCTAAAATGGAGGAAAAAATGCTGAATCTGCTGAAGCAACGTGTGTGTGTGTGTGTGTGTGTGTATGTATGTGTATATATATACACACACATATGCATATATACACATATACATGTATTCAATATATATACACGTATACATGTATACATATATACATATGTATACACACACACACACGTGTGTGTGTGTGTGTGTGTGTGTGTGTGTATGGCCCACTGCACAAAATTTGTGCAGGGGGGTGAGAGGTGATATGTTCCTCAGCTCGGCCAG